ATCAAGTCTGGGGGGTGAGGAGGTCATAAAACTTACCATTTTGTTTATCTTAAAGTGTATAATTCAATAGTACTAACCGTATGTGTACACTGTCGTACCGGACAGCACTTGTCTTTTGTGAAGGTCCTCGTGGCTCCGATTTGTAGTGTGAGGCGAGATTATTCTTGTGGAAGCTGAGCACCATCCTGACGTATGATGTGCCACGTTTCACTTATGCATTCATCTGTTGATGGGCATTTGGGTGGCTTCCACCCCTTGGTTGTTGTAACTAGCACTGAATGAACACGGATGTAGAAGTATCTCTCTGAAACACTGCTTTTGATTACTATGGATCTACACCCCCACGAGGCATTGCCAGATCAGGTGGAACCCGCACGCTGTTACCTAAGACTGCACCGTCTTAGAGTCCTATTACTGGGGCCCAAGTGTTTCTGTTTCTCCACATCCCTGCCAACACCTGTTCGCTCTGGTTTTTAAACAGTAGCTACCCAAACGGATGTGATGCAATATCTCATCGCAGTTTTGGTTTGCATCTCTCCAATGGTGAATGATGCTCAGCATCTTTTCCTGGTTGTCAGCCATCTGCACATCTCTATAACATGTCTACTCAAGTCTTTTGTCTATTTTTTAAAACCCTATAGTTTTTGTTAGTGTTGTCGAGCTCTGGAGGTATATTTTGTCATAACATCTATCCTATAAGTCGTTGTGACAACTAAAAAAAAATCATGAATACAGATCACATTATCTTCTGCAGAGCACCCACTCTGTGGCTGGGCTTCTCAGGATGGTGTGTTAAATAATGCTATGTTAATAGTACACATAAGCTGCTTTACAATTACAAGTGTTATGCAAATGTGAGTTCATACTGAAAGTCTGTGCACAAAATGTTCTAATATTTTTCTCAGGGTTCCCACATTTAAATATATAAGTCCTTTCCTCTTTAGACTTCATTCTGTGTCTTAGCTGTAATCCCCCTTCCTCATTTTATTTCAAGTTCTATCAGAAAAAAAAAAGCCAAAACGAATGAGTACAGGAGTAGAAACAATAGCTAATTTTACTCCAGCAAAGTCAGAATAAGATCTATTTAAAAATAACACAATAAGAAGGAAAGCTGCAATGGATTGCACTGTTGAAAACTCCATGGAGAGCCAGAGTTTCTGTTCCTTCTGAGAATATGAGTGATGCTGAAAGATTAATAACGTTTGGATAACATTAATTACTGTGATGTTATAAGCGCCGGTGTTCCGGTTGCCGTGGCAACCCACTATATGTTGGTTTCCTAATGACATTTCCAACAAGTGCTGAGACGAACAGCATCACTTCAGAACTCAGACCGCTGTCACTCAGTGACTTCTAAATTGAATTGTTTTGTTCGTAAAGAGTCAGACTATGTCACCATCTTCAAAAATATTCTCAAAATTATAGGGAGGAGATGATATATATTCCTATATGATTATAGAGTACTCAAGGAAAGGAAATATATTTTGTTTTTAATATAAAATTAACAGATTTTTATGCGGAATGAAAGGAAAAGGGGATAAGGAAAGGGGGGAATGTGGGCTTTTACTTTTTAGAAAATCATTTCCCTCAGGGAATTATTTGACAATAAACCCATTCTAGAAGTGTTTGATTTTATTGGTTATTTTTATTCTCTTTTCATTCTCTTTTCTTTTTCCTTCCTTCTTTCTTCCTTTGAATGAATACTCAGAAGCGATGGCCAACCTGCACCCAGCCTTTAGGTATTACCCAGCAACTGTAGTGAAATAGCACTGGCTACTGACCATTTTTGACTAGATTTTAATATTTCTAGAATATGTTAAGTACATATTATCACACCACCGATAGAAAGCAACGCATGATTCTAACAATTGTGTTTCCAATTCTTGCTCAGTTCACAGGCTACTCTCCTCCTTCATTCAGTCTATCAGCTTCCTTCCCATCCCCCAACACCCACAAACAAGAATCCCTGGTGAGTCAGAATGGGCCACGGGGACCAACTCACCAGCAGCAAGCGAGTGGCACCATCAGATATTATCCCCCCCAACCCCCGCCCCACTCCCGTCTGTCTGCCTCTGTGTGTGTGTGTGTGTGTGTGTGTGTGTCTACACCCCTCTCCACTAAAGCAAAAGATGGACATTTGTATTGTAATACCATTCAAAACAGAATGCTGATAGCCTGTAGTCACGCTGTGCTGCAAGACTCTGAAGGTGGGCCGCCCATCCTGTCCCTTTCAATCTTCACCCATACTTCCAGCAGCGTCTTAGTCTGTGGATACGTTCCAGACAATGGAGGTGGTATCACTCCAGATAAAGCACATTCCATTATCTATAAACCCTCATCCTCATGCATTGCCTGTGTCTGCCCCTCAGGGAGTCATGCCAATGACCCCATGCCACAGCCTCCCTCCTGCCCCACCCCACCCCATTCCTTTCATGTCCTCTCCTGTCCTCTGTTCTTAAAACCTCCTATCCCCACCCAAATTATTACCCATATGAACCCATGCCTTCCTGAGGGCATGCTAAGGCTATTTTTCATTCTGGAAAACACATATTCAGATATTGACATTTTGACTTCAAGTATATGTTGAGCTGGCCACCAGGGCAGTGGAGGGAGTCCGGTTGGTTATAGCAGAAATCATTTGAACTCGCTGAAATTATGTGGTAAATTTGATATTATCAAGAAAGCAAAAGAGAGACTGAAGAGTCTTGCTTGTGAGGCTTAGAAGCCACATTGTAAATTGGGCCCAGCAGTGTAGGTCTGTAATCCCAGCTACCAGGAAAGGGAAATCCAGCCTGAATTGTTTAGTGATACCCCTTCTTAAAATAAAAAGTAAAAAGAGGGCTGGGATGGACTCAGGGTAAAGCATTTGCTGAACATGTATAATGTCCTGGGTTCCATCCTTGGCACTGAAAAACTCATAATAAAATAAAAATAAACGCACTTTGCATTGATAACAAAATAAAACAGACAAAGGCAAAAACCCAATGAAAAATGTGCAACTAAGATTAAACCTTGACTGAAAAATCAAATATTCTTGTCAAAACTCACAACTAGCAGGGTATAGTGGTGCACACCTTCGGTCTCAGCATGCAGGAGGCAAAGGAAGGCTGATCTCTGTGAGTTCAATGCCAGTCTGGTCTACATGAGTCTAGGACACCAGAGTCACATCGTAAGACCCTGTCTTGAAAAAGAAAGCAAACAGTGGCTGTCATGACTCCTTAAGGGTTAGGGGTACAGCGCAGTGGTAGAGCTCTTGCCTACAGTGTTCAAAGCTCTGGGTTCTGGCCCTAAAACTTCATACAGGAGTTTCCTGTTGTGGGGATTTTAGAGATGCCGCGGCAGTTATAAACACTTGATGCTCTTGTGGAGGTCGCAGATTCAGTTCCCAGCACTCACATCGGGTGGCTCACAATACTGGTGAACAGTTCCAGGAGAACCAGCACCCTCTTCAGGCTCCTTAGTTACCTGCATTCATGTGGCACACATTCAGACAAGCAGGCCACACACATATACATATGATAAAGAAAATAACTAAATGGTTTTTTTCTTAACTGTCATGTCTACATCTGTCTTTATTGTATGGAGAGTGATCTACTGTGAGTGTAAAAATGTCCTACAATGTTTGCACACACACACACACACACACACACACAATTGGAGCTGGGGGAGATGGCTCATTAGTTAAGAGCACTGCCTGCTCTTCTCCAGTTTTAATCCCGACACCCACATCGTGGCTAACAATCATCTACAACTCCAGTTTCAGGAGATCTGGCGCCCTCTACTGGCCTCCACAGGCACTGCATGCATACGATGGGCAGACATACATACAAATAAAACACCCATACACATAAAGTAAAAATGTTTAATTAATAAATAAATCTTTTTGAAAAAGTTGTTCAGGCAGATTTTTCAGCAAGTGTCCCCTCACTAGTCAGTACGTGGATGTGTATGGGTGTATACTGGGAAGAATCTGGACCACACAAAGAAGTTGAGGCAAGAGCTTAACTGAGTACTTCCGATATTCCCTTTAGGGCAGAGAAAAGCGAATCCAGATGGTCTGGTGCCCATATCCAGGAAGAAAGTTTGTGTTTTGTTACTAAATTACATGTAGATTTTGGATAACACTTCTATTAGATCAAGGTTTATTTTCATATAGAAACAGCATTTTAATTATCATTAAAGGGAAAAGTGTGTATTCCTTTGAGTACCGTTTCATAGTAGAATCACAGGGTTGCTAGGTGTTTATGAAAGTGAGCACAAAGAAAGTTATTTAAATACGCCAGCGCAGGAAAAGTAGGCTTATACACACATACACACACACACACACACACACACACACACACACACACACACAGGATTATAAAAAATCTCTCAGTGCTCAGTGACCTTTCCCAGTTGGTGGTGGGATCTGGTGTGGTCTATGGCCTTGGTCCTGCTGAGGTGTGTCAAAACCTTATTAAGATTGTCTGGGGGTCCCCATGAAACCCTACCGGGTGTACCAGGAAAGGTGGGTAGGAATGGGCGAATGACCCTCGTCCTTTATAAAATCAGGAGGGCTGATAAAGCAGGAAAGCTTGGGAAGGCTCCAGTCCTGCACCCACCCATGGCCATCACTATCCACCCTCTGAATCCACTTGGGATGAATCATGTCGGCTAAACTTAAGGAAGCTATGTTAGATGGGAACATGGACCGTCGCTGTACACTTACCACCATTTACAATGCGGTATTATTAAATGTATCTGATAATCACCCCCCACCAAAATCTAGCTTTCAGGGCTAGAGAGATGGCTCAGCAATTAGGAACACTTCCTGTTCTTGCAGGGGACCCTGGTTTAGTCCCTGGCACCCACGTAGTGACTCACAGCCATCTGTAACCCCAGCTCCAGGGAATCTGATGCTCTCTTCTGACCTCCTTGTGTACCAGGCATAAAAGTGGTACACATATATACATGCAGGCAAAATGTTAATAAAATAAAATAAATATTTTAAAAAGCTTTTTTATTTTTAAATCCTCTCCCCTCCCTACACCACTGATAAGGACAGCCCACCAAGGTTTATGTATTTATCCTGTAGTTTTGTACTATCCCCTGACTAGCTAAAGCTATGGACACCCCGGGGGTATGGATGGGCCGTCAGCAAAGGCCACACCAGATGCTCAGAGCCGCAGAATTTCAGGACTGGGAACCTCCAAGGAAGGGAAGGTCCTGTCCCCCGTTCCTCTAAGCCAGGTCCTGGAGACAGAATCTCTGCGGTCCCTGTTCTGGGAGGAGAACCCGATACTAAAGCTCAGGCACCGTGCTTACTCAGAGCTGGGACCACAAGGAAGGACTGCAGCGTCCTCGGGGACTTTGACTCCCGAGGACACCTCTCGCCCTGCTGGCCCCTCCTCCTGTGAAGGCTCCATTAGAAAGCCCTGAGCAAGGCTTTCTGGGGTAAGGACCAGGCTCACAGTCTCAGATGAGGTAGGTGGCTGTGAGGGAGAGCAGCCATGAGGAAGCGCCAGGTCCATGGGGGCGGCCTCTCTCTTGCTCCGTGGCACCCTGCAGCATCCGTACGGGAGTGACAGCCAGCAGCTCTGAGTGAGAGTGCCACACCCACAGTCCACACTGGTTCCCCTCTGCACGTCCTCCTTTCCGGTTCAGCTGCTCCCTGCACCGTTATTATTTTTATCCCAACATAATATTTTTATGGATTAGTTGGGAATTTCATACAACACACCCCATCACACTCGCTTCCCATTCCTCCCAGGACCACCCTCCCATCCTTGTGCCCACCTACCCAAAAAGAAAAAAAGAATACACCAAGTCCAATTTGGGTTGCCCGTATAACCATAGGAGCATGGTCAAACTCCCAGTGGCCAGTCCCTTAGAGGTAACTGACCCTTCCTCACCCCACCCACACCTGAAGCCATCAACTGTGGAGAGCTGCACTTCAGCCTCTTTACCGCAGCTTTTAGGGGCTCCCTTCAATAGCTTCCTCTCCGGACTGTCGTGTCCCGTGTCCCCCTGCCTCCACCCCTCACCTCGTCCTTACATTTTGAGGTGGGCTTGAGAGAAGCAAGATTGTCACAGAAGACTCCAATGTCTCTCGTTGTCAACTACACCACTGCAAAAGAAGCTTCCTTGCCGGTAACAGCCACAGGCAGCATGGATCGTGAACTTCACATCATTTTCGGAGGCAGAACAGACCACGGACACCAACAGGGCGTTTGGGCAGCAGCACAGACCACGGTCCTCTCTACATGACCTGCGATGGCCACACAGACCACAGGCATCAGCACAGCCTGCTTCGACAGCCACAGACACAAGCACAACCCCTGACTGTAGTACAGACCACAGACACCAACATGGCCTCCGGTGGCACTGACCTCGGAGGTCTTTCGAAGAGGGTCAACACAGAAAGCAGCCATTCTGCATCTTGGACATCCTGTCATTGTTCAGAGCCAGGGCAATCGAGTGGCTGAGCATCGAGTGTGGCGCCAGAGCCTGTGACAGCTCCAGGCTGCCGCACACCACCCTGACAGCCCTATACACAACAAGATGCTCACCCAGGCTGGGCGGTGGTGGCGCACGCCTTTAATCCCAGCACTCGGGAGGCAGAGGCAGGCGGATCTCTGTGAGTTCGAGGCCGGGCTGGACAGACAGCCTCCAAAACAATACAGAGAAACCCTGTCTCGTAAAACCAAAAAAAAAAAAAAAAAAAAAAAAAAAAGATGCTCGCCCAGTGATCTCCAGGCACGCTCCCACCTTCCCGTCTCTCCATCACACACATTTATTCATTGAAGTGGCATTGCAAACTGCAGTGTGTCACACAGGTTTTTTGTTTGTTTGGTTGGTTGGTTGTTTTTTTGTTGTTGTTTGTTTGTTTTTTTGGTTTTTTGGTTTTTTGGGGGTTTTTTTGCCCAAACAGCATAACATGCAACAGTCATCGGTGTGATTCAAGGTTTCTGGTTTCTGAATCACCATCAATACTGGATTATCGCCAAGACAACAGGATCAGCCATCCTGTTGTTGCCCAGAGTCAAGGTGATCTTATGGCTGGGCAGTGCGTCCAGAGGCAGGATCCACAGCGCTCCAGGCTCTGCACACCTCTCTGCCCTCCGTGTCTGCCACCCCAGCAGCTCACTGGCACTGGGTATGACCATCCTGCTTACAGCACCGTCCCCCTCCCCCACAAGGCGTGCAGCCGCAAGAGCCAGCCCCCTGGCTCTCCCCTGCCATTGGGCGGCAAGGAGCAGGCCAACTCAGCAACATGTTCTCTGTTCCCATACCACTGCCATAGCCTTCGCCTCTCCTTTGCTTTCAGTTTCAGGAGACCACTTTTTAAAAGCATCCTTCGGCCGTTCCGGAGATACTGCGGGCTCTGCAGACTCCTCCTTAGCCACCACGCCTCCGTTGGAGCCTCCGTGAGTTCTTTCGGGCTCCTTGGAGCAGCTCTGAAGCCCCTGGGGTTCCATCTTGGACTGAATCCTCCACTTATATTTCTTATCTAATTCTTTTGTTTCATTTTGCTTTTGTTTTTTGCTATGGTGTCTCTTGTAGCCCTGGCTGACCTCCAGCGTTCTATGTAGCTGAACATGATCTTGAACCCCTCTATCTCTCAAGTGCTGGGATACCAAACATGAGCTATCACACACGCTTGCTTGCTTCCCACTTCAGTTCTGGAGCTCCTGGGTGTAGTAGTTTAACGACAGAAGGCGACCTTGGTGGGTTGGAGCCAAGAGGCACCACAAAGTTACATCATGCAACAGAGCTCACGTGGGAGGTTTACTGGGGGGAGTTGCACAGGCGGCCTCTGAGTGAGACAGGAAGTGGGGGATGGCTTGAGAAGTCTTGCCTTTTATAAGGGGATACAGCACATGCGTATAGGGAGAGCGCTCTACTTTGTGGCACATCTAGATCCATGAGTGGCCTTCCCTCCTGGGCAGGCACCTATATTAGATCTATACATTTAAATACCACTACCTTAGTCCAAGTTACAAACTCCTGATCAATTCAGTCACAGTCGATTAGCAGGGAGGCACCTCTGCTGGGCTCCAGAGGTAAAGTCCGAATATGTCCACCCCTGAATCTATCAGGGTACAGTGCAATTATTTCTTCACAGTCTCGTTCTCTGCAGGACCCTAACCCTGTAGCCAGTAATGGCCGTCTTGTCTTAGCATCTCAAAGCTGGTGCGGGTAGACCCTCAATGTACACCAGTTAATACAAAGTTAACTGAAGTGACGTAAAGCCAGAAAGCTGAATTTGAGTCCCAGTGTTGACATATCTTTGCTGCGTTAACTAGGGCAAATTACTTAGCCTTTCTGAACCCTGTCCTATTCTGCAGGAAGGTCTTTGTTGCAAGCCACAGAAGACCATTGTGTTACAGAATTCTACCCAGACAACAGAATATACATGCACTTACTAATGTACAATATAAAAGACCTTTGTGATAAGCCTTATATGGAATGTAGGGACACACTTCCCCTCTGTGGTTGTACCTCAGCCATGTGTTTTAACCGTGCAAATATGGACTCCTTCCTCAGAGGGCAGTTTCCAACGGGGTCCGGGTCTTTCTAACCTTTGTACACCTGTCTCTACCTAGGCTAAAGAGTTCTATACATATTAGTCGTATAAAAGGTCAGCAGATTTAGTTATCGTCTGTACTTAAAATCTTCATATGTTAGGTTTTCTGTTTGTTTTATATAAATCAGAGAAGGTAGGACACATGAAACATCACACATACACTAAATTCAAAATCTTCAGTAATTCTGCGGGCCCAACGGTTTCTCAGAGCAGATGGAAGCGAGGCTCGGAAGGATCCAGTTTTTCAGTGTGTGTCTCCATCTACTGCATTTACAGGAGAGTTGCTCACAAGTTCCCTCTCAGAATGAGTTTTCTGAGCATCTCTCCCAAGACAGCCAAGCTCCACACCGGGCACTAGGATACGAGTGCGTGTCCTCAGCCACCGCTAGAGGGCAGGCTAGCGTCTCTGGCAGAGCGCTTGCGCCCAAGGGCGGGCGAGTCCAGAGGAAACTGTTCGCAAACACACTACAAGCTGCAGCACCGGGTTTGTTTCTAAATGGAAAACTACATGTAGACATGTCCAGATTCGCGGTTCGTGTTCCCCTCGTTAATTACGCGATCCTTCAGCTCACTTCTTTTGTTTTCTGTTTCCTCCTTCCCAGTCTCCTTCGGATTGCAACAAATAAGCCCCTTTTTCCCACCTCCTACCAGAGACTTAACCCACAAAAATAAATCAAGAGGAGGTAACACGAATAAACAATGCACAATTTAGTGAAGGTTTAACCGCTGAAGTTTCATTTGGGTTTATCTTTAAATAATATGATTCTGCTCATTTTTTCATGAATTAAACAGCTGGCCAAGATGAGACTGGGAACAGAGATTGGAAGAAACAAAAACAAAGCAAAACAAACAAACAAACAAAAAACCGGGGTGGGAAGGAGTTGTAGGTCCGTTTGGAGGGAGGAGGGAGAACAAACAGAAAGATGATATCAGAAAAGAAGTTGGTCTGGGGGTCCTATTGGCCCATCCCAAGTGGTGCTGGCGTTAGCTCTAGACAGACAGCTGTCCGGTGGTTGGAAGCTCAGCGATTTCCTGCGACAGCTGCCTCCTCATCTGGAATGAAAGCGATTTGGACTAGATAATTTTCTAATTCAAAAGGGGGCTGTGCTGAAGGAGGGAAGCCACGGGGTGAGAGCGGGGGACTGGTTGTAGAAACTGTATGTACTCCCAGATAGAGCTCGGCCCCCTGTCTTCCCCTTGGCCAGCGAGGGCTTTCAAACACTGGGCTGACCCTGGTTGCACTAAGGCAAATCCAAAGAATGAAGATAGCTGAGCTTGAGGAAACGCAGAACAGCTGGGGTGGTGTAGGAGAGCTGCTTCCTCCTGGAGCTCTGGAGGAGACATGGTCAACCCTAAATGACAAACTACTCGAATTCTAACAAGAACTTGCTCTAGCCTCGTTAGGGAAGTATACACCCCTGGGGACCAAGCTGCTCTTTTGTCATTGCTGGTTTGAGTTCAACTGTAGAAGCCAGTGTGGACCTTACATGACATTTAGGAAAAGTCTGTATCTTTTGATCTTGCCTGTACTGTCACAAGTACAGTAATCTCATAGCACCCTAATAAGCAACTGGGCTGTGATTTCAAAGCTAACACTGTGCTCTGACATCATGATAACCAATTAATTACTATTTACCAGGTTCACGTTTTCACATTAATATTTCTGAGAGCTGTCTCCAGATAATAACTGGATTAGAAGATTCCACCCCTTAGTGCTAGCTTTACTTAGCTAGCAGTATTCTTATAAATGTGAAATGTTGCTGTTTTACCCCTAACACACACATATGTATGTATATATGTATATATGTATGTGTATATATATATATATGAAAAGCTCAACAAAATATTTGCAGTAAATTTGCTTCATCTGCAATTTCAAATGTTTACCACTAGGGGGTGGTGCTAACTATTTAAATGGTCATTCTCAGGCTTAATTCCAAAATGTAGATTCCTAAGCCTTGCAGACTCAGAATTTTCTGAGTAGAAGATTGTGAGATCTGCCTCTTAAATAAATCTCCTGAGTGAACTTGAAGCAGGCTGTCATTTATCAATAATTAAACTCTTTTTAGCCAGTGTAACTGCCCTGACTCTCTCTACAGAAGAAATTACCATCAAAATGAAATCGACATTTCTTGCAGCGGACCTCAAGTCCCTATGAGAGTAAGATTTATTCAGATCTCCTAATGCTCATGACGCTCTCCCCCTGCTGTTCCTCCAAGAAGCCTCCAGAATTTGGAGCAAGTCATTTCTCACCCTCCCCCACCCCATGACTCCCTCGCTTCTTTTACAAGTCTGATCACTCCAGAGAGACACTTACTCCCACCTGTCCTCAGTCCTGTCTATGCAGCTGGTGGAAGACGGCACATGTTCCTAGAAAGACAGGTTATTGCAGACCTTCCACAGTCACCAAGCAGAGGCTCTGTGTGTTTGGTGAATGAACTAATGGATAAATGTAAACTAAATCTAAGTGAATAGTGGAACACTTTCTTTATTAGTTCAAATAGTTAATGGTTTTCTAAGTATTTATTTATTTTTGTTCTGCATATATGATTTTGCTGCATGTTTGTATGTGTAGCAGTGCCCACAAGGGCCAGAAGAGGGCACTGGAACTCCAGGCTCTAGAATTACAGACACTTGTGAGGCGCCATGGGGGTGCTGGGAACAAAAACCCGAACCAGAAC